CAACAGACACTTCCTTCTCCCTAGCCAAGTCTATGCCTTGATGCCATTAAGTTAGTCAGTTCAGCTTTCCGAAAGCTGGATTAATCTCATTTGAAGGACAGGGTGGAATAATCTCATTGGAAGGATATTGAATTGTATTCTGCAGTGGTGGAGGTCAGCTACTGAACAAGCCAAAACAGGACAGAATTCCCAATATGTATATGCCAAATAAATAAACCTAGGATAAACTACAGTGGCTACTTAAGGAAACCATGTCCAGACATGGAATTGATAATGTGTAAGCATTTGACACGCAACCCATCATTTAAAGTACACTTGCTGTTTACACCTGTCTTTTGCATGATATAAATAGGGAGGCAAGAAGATTGATTGATCCACTTTTCTCACTATAATCTCTCAAAGCAGTTCGAATTATAATGACAATAATTGTATCGTAATGATGTAGAAGGTGATAGGAATAGGCTCTTGCCATCAGGCTTACAACATAAGAAAACAAGGGAAAAAAAGAATCAGTTTGACAGTATTGCAGGAAAGTTGAGCAATTAACCAGATATTTTACACCCAGCTGAATATTGGCTTATCTTTTCTTGCTGGAAGACATGTCTCAATAGAGCAGTCAACCTCAGCACCTTTAAGATGTGCGGACTTCAACTCTTTAAAGATGGTGAGGTTAAGGAACACTCCAATAGAGACGTGGCAAAAGACCCAGAAAACTATGTTCTTTTGGCCAAAGGGTGAGATCCTGCTCTGTGTTTCCATTCAAGTCTGTCCTACGCTGAGTGGAAATGGGCACTATCTTTTTTTTTTAATTTATTTTTCAAATGGATATATGCTGCCCATCTCACTGTACAAATGACTCTAGGACCCTTTTCTCGTAGGAAGAACCTCCCCTGCAGTTGCTCCTTCTGTGGCAGATGGAGGGGGCAAGGCTGAGCACCCAATATTGGTCCTGGACTGACTCATATGGTGACCTGCATTCAAACAGAGCAGAGCATATATGCAATGTTTTCACCTTGATCTCTGGAAGGCTTTCAACCTCTTAAGCCATTCTATCTATATACTACTAAAACTCTCATTGTGCTTTTCTGTTTGTCCCCTCAGGTTAGCTCAAATGGTGCATTATACCACAACAATTTCTGAATCAAGGTACCTAAAATTAATTTAAAGAAAGCATAAAAAATCCAGGATCCATTACTCCTGTGGAGTTGAAATTTCCATGATGTTCACACCAGTTTTATTTGCAAAGTTGTGTCCATTGCAGGGTCCCCGTGGTCACATGATTCTGATTTCTGACACTCCCTGCCAGCTTCTACAAGCAAAGTCAATGGGGAAGCTGGCAGGAAATCAGAAGTCACTCCTGCTTCCACTGCTTTTTTGCCCACCCATGGTCACTCTGTTTATCTGTTTAGGTAAGTAACTATTGATTTATTGAAGTTTGTTTGCCACTACAATTTTTTTCCCTATTTATGATATATACAGTACTCTTCTTAGATGATCATGGGACCTTCCAGCAATGGGATAAAAAGAATACGGTCAGCCTAAAATTTAATGTTCATTCTGGTCACATCAGACTGCACTACCTTTCTCTCAAATGGGTCACAGGGTTGTCTAGTATATTATAGAGGCAGCTGGGAGAATTGTACCATTTCTGGTTTCAGAAGAGATTTAATAATATTCCTGCAAGCATTATCTTGCATAAACAAGGGGAAGGGTTTCCATTTGCTCTCTCCCACATGTGAGAATGTACTACATGCAGAGAGGGATTATTAAAAAGTAAAATAATAATAATAATAATAATAATAATAATAATAATAATAATAATAATAATAATAATAATAATAATAA